GGCTATTTTTTGGTTGCAGCCGTCATTGTTGTTTGGTGGGCCCAGGCTGGATTGGAACCCGCCGCCTTGGGTGTACATGGCTGACGCCTTAGCCACTTGAGACACAGGCGCCGAGCCATCTGGGAGTTATTTTAAGTAACCTTTTCTTTTTTTTAAGAGACAGTCTCACTCTGTTGCCCCAAGGTAGAGTGCTGTGACATCATGGCTCACAGCAACCTCTAACTTTTGGGCGGGGTAATCCTCTTGCCTAGCCTCCTGAGTAGCTGGGACTATAGGCACTCACCATGATGGCTGGCTAGTTTTTGTATTTTTTTTTCTTTCTTTTTTTGAGACAGGGTCTCACTATGTTGCTCTGGGTAGAGTGCCATGACGTCATAGCTCACAGCAATTCTTGGGCTTAAGTAATTCTCTTGCCTTAGCCTCCAAAGTAGCTTGAACCACAGGTGCCTGCCACAACGCCACTTTTTTAGTTATTGTTGCAGTTGTTTAGCTGGCCCGGGCCAGTTCAAACCTGCCACCCTCCATGTATGTGGCCGGCGCCCTGCTGACTGAGCTATGGGTGCCGCCCTAGTTTTTGTATTTTTAGTAGAGATAGGGTCTCAGTTTTGCTCAGGCTGGTCTTAAACTCCTGAACTCAAGCAGTCCATCCACCTCAGCCTCCCAGAATGCCAGGATGATAGGTGTGAGCCACTGCGCCCAGCCACTTTTAAGTAATTTTAAGGAAATTCTTAAAAGTTTTATATGTTCAAGTAAGTAGAACTTGCGGTCATATCCCATTATTTTATGTTGGGGTACAAAGTGTGTTTTTCCTGGATGTAAGATATGCTTTGGCAAGGTGAAGTAGTTCTGTTTCCACAGCAGTAATCACAGACATAGATACTTAAACTGTATTGCATAAGTGTATCCATCTGTAGTCTAGTTATGAAGGATTCATGTTAACCACTATATGATGTACCAGAAAAGAAAAAGTAAACTAGGAGTCGGAAGACTTGGAGTCTACTTTGGCTCTGCAGCCAGCTGCCAAGATGTGTGCCTCTGTTACTGTGAATTCCATGTAGAGTGTGTTGGTTTAAACCTCTAAGTAATTTTTAGTTTTTTTCCTCAGAGTTTTATTACAAAATTTTCTCTTTTTTAAACTTATTTTTAATTCAGTTTTAACTGTTGCTAAATTCATATGGTTCAAACATTAAAAAGTGTAAAACAGTTTGTAATGGCAAGTTGCCCTTCAGTCCGTACCACTTCTGCTATTTCCCTTTTTTCCTGCTTCCCTGCTTCCGAAGATACCAGTCTTTTGAGTTTTTTATTTATTCTTCCCGAAAATTTTAATATACCTATCACCCAATGTTCTTCATTTTTAAAGCATTTAAAATGGCTGAACTATATATGACAGCAAAAAATAAATTCTAATACTTTCTCATGTGAAAGTGTTATTATTTTGGATAGATTTTAAGTAATTTTAACTTTGGTTATTATGCTAAGGATGAACTGGCAAGAAAAGATTATGAACAAAGGAAATTTGATCAGAAGAATCAAAGGACTAAGAAAACTCAGAATTTGAGTAAAGATCTTAAAACCAACGCACAAGACAAAACCGTAAACAGATACGTATTTCCAAGGAAATATTCTCAAAAACAAATAGAAGAGCATTTTAGAAACCCACCTGTGAAGAGCACACCTCCTTCAGGTTTACAAAAAGAGAGAAAAGAAGTAAGATTCTAAGCTGGTTTGTGATGTAAACATTGCCGTGTAATTGGTTATTCCTTTAGGATATAAACCATGAAGTAAACATTCAGATAATAGGAAGGACTATACAAATGTAAAGTATCTCTACATTATTGATATTTAGGGATTTAGGGTTTTGGATCCATAATGTGAAAAGCACTGCACTAGTATCATAGTATTAGGGTTATAGCAGGTATATGTATCTAGAGACACTTTATCCACACACTAGGTTACCTGGTATCAGGAGTGTCCAGCCTGCAGGCCAGGGCTGCATGCAGATTATCTGAGGCCTGTTTTGCTTATCTGTGGTGTCAGGCATGGACTTGTCTTTTGCTCAGCTTCTGTGTTTCATGTGTGGCCCAAAGCAGCTCTTATTTTTTTAGTGTGTAGCAGAAAAGAAAAAAGGTTGGATACCCCTGCTAGCTCATGGTATTACAAATTTTGTTTCATCTTTGTATGTATACACTGTGTGTGTGTATATATATATTTTGCTTATTTTTTTAGTTTAAAATACTGCATATGTTTAGTGCCTAGTTTACATGAAGCAAGGTATGGAGGGGATTTTTTTTGACTGCTCTAAGTAGGCTGCAACTTTTTTTTTTTTTTGGAGACAGAGCCTCAAGCTTTCCCCTGGGTAGAGTGCCATGGCATTACAGCTCACAGCAACCTCCAACTTCTGGGCTCAAGCGAGTCTCTTGCCTCCGCCTCCCAAGTAGCTGGGACCACAGGCGCCCGCCACAACGCCCGGCTATTTTTTGGTTGCAGCCATCATTGTTGTTTGGCGGGTCCGACTGGGGATTCGAACCCACCACCTTGGGTGTACGTGGCTGGCGCCTTAGCCGGTTGAGCTATAGGCGCCGAGCCGGCTGCAACTTTTTTAATGCCAAATATGGATTCTCGAACAGATTAGTAAAGTAATTTAATGCGTGCCACTTACTAGATGTTCAATAAATGTTACTTTTCTGTGGCATTTGGATTGTGGTTGAAGCTAGGATCACAAATGTATAAAGTCATTTAAAGGCTAGAGTTATCGTATCTCTATTATACTTGAACATAGTAAACATATAAAATGTGTTTAAACATTACTTTGTGGTACCAAAAATAATTAACTTAGTAATGAACCTTCATGTTTCTTAGGTAGATAATTTTTATATTTAAATTTCATGCTTTTAAAACTTTTATCTAGAATTTAAGGTCTGTCTAAAACAGGATTTTTCTAAGCTGTCATCATTATTATAGTACTTAAGGTAGCGAAAGGAGCTTTGGGAAAAATGAAGTGTTTGATAACTATTTTCACAGTGAGTTTTATCTTTGTATATATAGGGTCTTTTTAAAACAACCACAGTGATACAAGATGAAGATTATATGTTCCAAGTGTACGGAAAACCAGTTTATCAGGGTCACCGCAGCACTCTCAAAAAAGGACCATATCTCAGATTTAATTCTCCATCTCCTAAATCCAGACCACTGAGACCAAAAGTAATAGAGCAAGTTAAAGGTAAAGAATCTCTTTTTTTGTGTTTAATCTCATGTTTTAATGGTATCAGTTTAATATGTAAAGTTTTCTTTTATGTGTTTTTTATTTATTAATTATCAATACACTTCAAATTATACAATGCTTACAGATAGAAAAATAATTGCTTCTAGGAGAGAGAGGAAGAAATAGGCCAGAATTTAAACATAAAGGGCACAAGGTAAGAATAAGGGGGGAAGAATGTAAGAACAAGTGGTCTCTTCAGATAAAGGATAGTAAACGTTTGTTTAGAAAATGATGAATCTAGAGCAAACTAATCTAGCGAAAGTCGACATCTCTTTGCACCTTGGTCCACCATGTTCTTAAGGACAGAAAGATCAGCCATGCGCTATTTATTGTTGTAAAAGTATTATGAGCATTTTCACAATTTTGTTTGTTTGTTCTCAAAGGGCCTTAGGTAGCAAATATGAAAGCTTTTTTGTTGCATGTGTGCACAATTAAAAACGTCTTTATCATTGCATGTTTTGACTGGTGTCTGCCATTTCGTGGCATTGTATATTTAACTATATCTCTTAGTTAAATACCGACTCTTTTGACTTTGGTTACATTTTTAAAAATGATTATTTTTTATTGTTGGGAATTCATTGAGGGTACAAAGACCCAAGTTACATTACATCTTACAGTTTCTCGGCTTGTGCGTGAGGAGTCAGTAAGTCGTTTTGATGACAGGTGGTAACTGCTGGGTAGCAACCCATTTTCCTGTTTCTGTCCTTCTAGGATTTGTAGCTTTGGCAGTTGCTTCAGTTCCCTTTCCTTCCTAACAGTTGGGTGATCACATAGGGTATCAGGTTACATAGAAATTTTACAGACTTATTCAACTACTGTGTACCCTTGATAATAAAAATGAAGTAAATTTAAAAATTAAAAAAAAATTTACAAAAAATATTTTACTGGTGTTATTTTAGTAAAACATATAGCTTATGGGCAACATTTGTCTTAAGATTTCCTCTTATTTACTAGAGCTTTGCTGTTAACTCATATTTGGGGTTTTGAAAACCTTTGCAAAAAATCATTTGAGGTTTTAAAATACTTTCGGATCTAAAAACAGCTTTATTCCATAACCCTTTTTAATGATAGAAGTGATTGAGAGCCTATGGACTTAAGCTTACCCAGGGCCCTGGGACCTGCTGTGTCCTTCTGCAGAGCTCTTCCTTTTTGTTTTTTTTGTTTGTTTGTTTTTTTGGTTTGTTTGTTTTTGGGAGCCTCCCATTTCTGGCAAATGAGGCCCCAGCCCCACTCCTTTGAGCCACAGGTGCCGCCCAGGAGAGCTCTTCTTTCAGATGCTTGTGTGGCTCACTAAGTTCTTTCAGTTCTTAACATGTTAGCTCCTCAGAGACCTCGCCTTGCCCACTGCATCTAAGGAGTGGTCTGTTTTCCCATTTTGTCTCCTTGCCCTGCCTTGTTGTTCTTCATAGTACTTTTCAGTACCTATTATATTTTTATTAATTTGGTTTATTCTTTGTGTATTAGTCCTTACTAGAGCGTGAGCTCCATGAGTACACTTGGCTTATTCACCTCCGTATTCTTGTGTTTGGAACTAATGCCTAACACATAGTCAGTGCTGAACGATTATTCTAAGTAAACATTCAAGAAAAATATTCATTCAACAGGATGAATGAGTATCAGAGAACAGGATGAAAAAATTCAGATATTTGTGATACTAAAAGTTTTCTTCTCAGAATCATAAACAAACGGAAACTGTATTTAATAAAATCTAGACGCATAAAAAATTCATGTGTTAAAAATAAAACTGCAATGTCAGGAAATTATTTAGAAAATATTTCAGTCTCTTTTCCTTTGCACTTTGACTTTTCTTGGATCCCATAGAAATTTATCCTGCACCAAAGACACAAGAGACATGTAATCAATTTTTTAAGATTTAGGATATAATTATATGCATCTTCCTCATAAAAGCTGGGAAAATGTATAGTAGTCTTCCTGATCTGTGGGGCATATACTATAAGACCCCCCATGGATGCCTGAAACTGTTGGTAGTACCACGTTTTTTTATTTGATAACTGTGATGGCAACGGAGTGGCTCAAGGACAGGTAACATATACAATGTAGATACAATGGACAAAGGGATGGCTCACATTTTGGGCAGCACAGACTGAGAGGGTGCGAGGTTTCATCATGTTGCTTAGCACTGCGCACAATTAAAAACTTGAATTATTTATTTCTGGAATTTTCCATATAATATTTTCCAACTGTGGTTGACTACAGGTTACCGAGAGTGGGCAAAGTGAAAACATGGATGAGGGGCGGTACCTTTGGCTCAGCGAGTAGGGCACCGGCCCCCTATACTGAGGGTAGCGGGTTCAAGCACAGCCCCGGTCAAACTGCAACAAAAAAATAGCCTGTCATTGTAGTGGTTGCCTGTGGTCCCAGTGGTCCCAGCTACTCGGGAGGCTGAGGCAAGAGAATCGCCTAGGCCCAGAAGTTGGAGGTTGCTGTGAGCTGTGTGACGCCACAGCACTCTACCGAGGGCAACAAAGTAAGACTCTATCTCTACCAAAAAAAAAAAGAAAATATGGATGAGGAGAGACTATTGTATAATAATACTAACTTCTGCACGGTTTAAGTAAGCATAGGTTTAGATTGTGTGGACTTAATTTCAAAACATAAAGCTGGTTTTTAGAATTATTTTATTGTAAAGGTATGATGAGAAAATGAAAACATCCAATTCTTTAAAAAAGATCATTAACTTTTTGTATCTGTGGGGAAAAATTTAATGAGGTAAAACATACTGTCTGAATATTCTTCAGAATCTTCACTCAACACCTTTTTTCCAGTCACTGTATTTATTTTGTCATAGTAGCTACACAAGTAATGCACCTATTCAGCAGCTGGCAAACTGTTGCCTACAGTGAGCGGTCTGCTTTATAAATAATGTTTTTTTGACCCAGCCACACTCATTCCTTTATGTATTGTTCACAGCCGCTTTCAGGACATGACACGGGAGTTGGACTTGAGACAGCTCTGGTCTGTGTGTTACTTCTGTTTGGGGCCCTGTGACCTCATTATATACAGTGACAGCCTTCTGTGAAGAATCGCTCTATTTCTAGATGGCTGGCTGGTAGGTAATTCAAACAGTATTTTAAATTATTTGCCATTAACAATTTTGCAGGCACTAAAGTCAAGTCAATAAGAACACAAACTGACTTTTATGCAGCAAAACCTGTGAAAATGGATTCTAAAATGAAGCACTCCACCATGACACTGCCTTGTGGAGATCAGAAGTATGTGTTCAGTCCAAGCAGGGAAATGCCTACTGTTTCAGGCACACTGGAGGGGCATCTCATTCCTATGGCAATTCTTTTAGGTAAGAGCCAACAAAATATGTGGAATGTGTTTTAAATTATCAGCAGTAGCAGAGCTTACTAAGAGGTACTGACAAGATAGTCACCTGCCTTTTCCTGTCTGTGTTACTTATATTTTGTAGAAGGGCCTCAGATTATCTTACTCCTGTAATAGCAGTCTCTGATGATGGATTCTTGATGTAGTTTCACTCACAGAAAACAGTCCTTTGATATTTTGTAGGGCATTATTGTAGATGAAATGAAAATTTAAAAAGTATTTTGACATGTCACAGACATTCATAATAATTCCAGAATCCAAGAGGTGTGATTGGCTTGTTAATATTGCCATGTCTTAGGGGCTTACTTTGAAGTGTCTTTATGTACTTTGACACCGGGCTGCCACAAGTAGAAGTTATATGGGTGTGTATCCTCAACTCACAGTTGTTTATTTATTTACTTGAGTTCTCTTAGACTCATGATGTTAAAAAGTCAACAAATTGTTTTGCCCTCACATCAGCACTTCAAATTTATTCAGTTTCTTTTTTCCTTATAGAGTTATTCTTCCATGATTTTGATGAATAAGTATAAATATTTTTTAACTTTGGAGACATTTTCATTTTCAATATTTTGAATTAATGTCAACATGGTAGCTAATGTCTGTTCAGACATCTCTTCTAGTAATATAATAGCTAACACTTTTGAAGTCATTACTGCAGTGCCAGGTACAGTTCTAAACACTTTACATATATTCACTCATTTAATCTACTCTACAAAGCATATGGTGATAAACTATTTTTTTTTATTTTTTGCAGTTTTTTTTTGGCCGGAGCTAGGTTTGAACCCACCACCTCCAGTATAGGCTACTCCTTTCAGCCACAGGTGCCACCCTAAACTAATTTTTTTTTTGTTCGGATTTCATTGAGGGTACAAGAAACCAGGTTACACTGATTGCATTTGTTAGGTTAAGTCCCTCTGACAATTGTGTCTTGCCCTCAAAAGGTGTGTCACACACTGAGACCCCACCGTCCTCCCTCTTTCCTTCTTTCTGTTCTTCCTCTCCTCTACCCCCTCCCTCCTTCTCTTTCTTTGCTCTTTCTTTCCCCCACCCCTCCTTCCTTCTTTCTCTCTCTACCCTTCCCTTCCTCCACCCCCACGGTGTCATTAATTGTCCTCATATCAAAATTGAATACATAGGATTCATGCTCCTTCATTCTTGTGATGCTTTACTAAGGATAATGTGTTCCACTTCCATCCAGGTTAATACAAAGGGTGTAAAGTCTCCATCTTTTTTAATGGCTGAACAGTATTCCATGGTATATACAGCTTGTTAATCCATTCCTGGGTTGGTCGACATTTAGGCTGTTTCCACATTTTGGCAATCGTAAATTGAGCTGCGATAAACAGTCTAGTGCAAATGTCCTTATGATAAAAGGATTTTTTTCCTTCTGGGCAGATGCCCAGTATGGCATTGCAGAATTAAATGGGAGGTCTAATTTGAGTTCTTTGAGGGTTCTCCATACTTCCTTCCAAAAAAGGTTGTATTATTTTGCAGTCCCACCAGCAGTGTAAAAGTGTTCCCTTCTCTCCACATCCACGCCAGCATCTGTAGTTTTGAGATTTTGTGATGTGGGCCATTCTTGCTGGGGTTAGATGGTATCTCAGCATGGTTTTGATTTTCATTTCTCTAATAATTAAGGATGATGAGCATTTTTTCATGTGTTTGTTAGCCATTCGTCTGTCTTCTTTAGAGAAGGTTCTATTCATGTATCTGGCCCATTGATATATGGGATTGTTGGCTTTTTACATGTGGATTAATTTTAGTTCTTGGTAGATCCTAGTTATCAAGCTTTTGTCTGATTCAAAATATGCAAATATCCTTTCCCATTGTTTAGGTTGTCTCCTTAGCTGTACAGAAGCTTTTCAGTTTAATTAAGTCCCATTTGTTTATTTTTGTTGTTGTTGCAATTGCCACGGCAGTCTTCTTCATGAAGTCTTTCCCCAGGCCGATATCTTCCAGTGTTTTTCCTATGCTTTCTTTGAGGATTTTTATTGATTCATGCCTTAAATTTAAGTCCTTTGTCTATCTTGAATTAATTTTTGTAAGTGGAGAAAGATGCGGGTCCAGTTTCAGTCTTTTACATGTGGATATCCAGTTCTCCCGGCACCATTTATTGAATAGGGAGTCTTTCCCCCAAGGTATGTTGTTGTTTTGTTTATCGAAGATTAGGTGGTTGTAAGATGTTAGTTTCATTTCCTGGTTTTCTATTCGATTCCAAATGTCTATGTCTCTATTTTTGTGCCAGTACCATGCTGTCTTAACCACTATGGCTTTGCAGTACAGCCTAAAATCTCGTATCCTGATGCCCTGGGCTTTGTTTTTGTTACTAAGAACTGCCTTAGCTATACAGGTTTTTTTCTGATTCCATACAAAACGAAGAATAATTTTTTCCAAGTCTTGAAAAGATGATGTTGGTATTTTTCATAGGGATGGCATTGAATCTGTAGATTGCTTTGGGAAGTACAGACATTTTAACAATGTTGACTCTTCCCAGCCATGAGCATGGTATGTTCTTCCATTTGTTAATACCGCCAGCTATTTCCTTTCTTAGGGTTTCATAATTTTCTTTATAGAGGTCCTTACCTCTTCTGTTAGGTATATTCATAGGTATTTTATTTTCTTTGAAGATATGTTGAAGGAAGTTGTGTCCTTAATTAGCCTCTCATCTTGACTGTTCTTGCCATATACAAAGGCTACTGACGTGTGGACATTGATTTTATATCCTGAGACATTACTGTATTTTTTGATGACTTCTGGGAGTCTTGTGGTTGAGTCTTTGGGGTTCTCTAAGATCATGTCATTGGCAAAGAGCAAGAAGAGTTTGATCTCCTCTGCCCCCATCTGGATGCTCTTTATTAACTTCTCTTGCCTGATTGTATTGGCTAGAACTTCCAACAGTAGTAGTGGAAGTTGACTAGTAGTGGCCATAGAGGACAAACTTTTCTGGTTCCAGTTCTAAGTGGAAAAGCTTTCAGTTTTATTCCATTAGTAAAATATTAGCTGTGAGTTTGTCATAGATATCTTCAATCACTTTAAGAAATGTTCCACCTATACCTATACTCTTCAGTTGTTCTAATTAGAAAAGGATGCTGGATTTTATCAAATGCTTTTTCTGTCTTATTGAGAGGATCATATAGTCTTTTTTCTAATTAGAAAAAGATGCTGGATTTTATCAAATGCTTTTTCTGTCTTATTGAGAGGATCATATAGTCTTTGTTTTTGCTGCTGTTGATATGGTGAATAACGTTTATGGACTTGTGTATGTTAAACCAGCCTTGCACCCCTGGGATGAAACCTACTTGATCATGATGTATTAATTTTTTTTTTTTTTTTTTTTTTGCAGCTTTTGGCCAGGGCTGGGTTTGAACTTGCCACCTCCAGCATATGGGGCTGGCACCCTACTCCTTTGAGCCACAGGCACCATCCATGATCCATGACTTTTTAGATGATAAGCTGTAATCTATTGGCTAGGATTTTGTTGAAAGTTTTTGTATCTATATTCATTAGTGAAATTGGTCTGAAGTTCTTATTTTAGCTAGGTCTTTTCCTGGTTTTGTTATCAAGGTGGTATTTGCTTTGTAGAACATGTTGGGAAAGATTCCTTCCTCCTCAGTTTTTTGGAATAATTCCTGCAGCATTGGAATAAGCTCTTATTTGAAGGTTTGGTAAAATTCTGGTGTGAAGCCATCCGAATGAGGACATTTTTTTGTTGGGAGATTTTTTATTGTTTCTTTGATCTCAGCGCTTGAAATTGGTCTGTTCAGGAGCTCTATTTCTTCCTGGGTAAGTCGAGGGAGAGGGTGTGATTCCAAATATTGATCCATTTCCTTCACATTGTCAAATTTCTGGGCATAGAGTTTCTGGTAGTATTCAGAGATAATCTCTTGTGTTTCTGTGGCATCTGTTGTTATTTCCCCTTTATCATTTCTGATTGAGGTTATTAGAGATTTTCCTTTTCTATTTCTAGTTAGTCTGGCCAAAAGTTAATCTATTTTATTTATTTTTTCAAAAAACCAACTCCTTGTTTCATTAATCTCTGATTTAATGTTGGATATTTCTTTTCTTCTGCTGGGTTTAGGCTTTGATTGTTCTTCTTTTAACAATTCTATAAGATGGCTTGTGAGTTTGTTGATGGGCTCTTTCTGTTTTTCAAATGTAGGCATCTAAAGCGATAGATTTTTCTCTCAGGACTGCTTTGCAGTATCCCACAGGTTTTCGTAGCTTGGGTCTTTATTGTTGTTATGCTTAAGATAGTTAATGAACTGTCATTTAGCATAAGGTTGTTTAATTTCCATGCCTTTGTGTGGGGTTGAATATTTTTGTTGGAGTTGAGTTTCACCTTTAGTGCCTTGTGGTCTGAGAAGATACAAGGTAAAATTTTACTTCTTTTGATTCTGTTAAGGTGTTTTGTGTCCTAGGATATGATCAATTTTGGAGACTGTTCCATGGGGCGATGGGAAGCATGTATATTCTTTATCTTTGGGATGGAGTGTTCTGTATATGTCTATCAAGGACAGTAGTTCTAGGGTCTCATTTAAGTCCCTTTATATCTTTGTTTAATTTCTGTTTAACAGCAGTTCTCCACCTATGGGTCGCAACCAACAGCAACTGTATTAAAGGGCCGCAGCATTAGGAAGGTTGAGAACCGCTGGTTTAGAGGCTCTGTCCAGCTCTGTAAGAGGAGTGTTATAGTCCCCTGTTATTATGTTACAGTATATCATATTGCTCAAGATAATTAAGGTCTATTTCAAAAATCTGGGAACATTTAAGTTGGGTGCATAAGTATTTAGAATTGTTATTGTATTTTTCCCTTGACCAGTATGAAGTGACCAGTAATAAACTAATTTTATAAATAAAGGGACTGAGGCACAAAGGGGATAAGTAATTTATACAAGGCCATAGCTATACTGGGGTTGGGATTCAGACCTAGGAAGTCTGGCTTATTATGCGTATTTAGTCTGTTCTTTTAATGAGTACACTGTACTCTTCCTTTTTACTTTGTTTTTTCTCCTTTTTTTATTTTAGAGAGGGGGTCTCACTCTGTTGCCTAGTTGGAATGCAGTGGTATGATCATAGCTCATTGCAGCCTTGAATTCCTGGGCTTAATGAACCTCCTGCCTCAGCTTCTCCACTAGCTATAATTACAAGTATCTGTCAACACAGCCTGCTAATTTCTTAACTTTTTGTGGAAACATAGTCCGGCTGTGTTGGCCAGGCTGGTTTCAAGCACCTGGCCTCAAACGTCCCTTCTAGTAATACAATAGCTAACACTTTTAAAGTCATTACCTTAGTGCTAGGTATAGTTTAAACACTTTCACTCATTTAATCTACTCTCTAAAGCATTTGGCAATAATCTAATCCTTGTGCCCTGGCCTCCCAAAGTGTTGGGATTACGGGTGTGAGCCATTGTACCTGGCTTTCCTTTTGACTTTGAAATGTAGAGAACAAGTGGAACTTGTGAAATGAAAGTTTTTGGTATGTGTTTAAAATATGGATAATGTTAGTACCTCATAGCTTTTATTCTGAGGATGAAATTAGATAATATATGTGAAGTATTCAGAACGTACAACGTTGATGGTGATGTGGAAGGAGGGGGATGGTCAGATGGGGCTTTCCTGTCATGTGAGAATACAGCTACAGAGATACAGGGATGTATTTGATTTTTTCCTTTATTTCTGAACTAGTTGACTTATTTTCTTTCCTAAACTTCTTAGCACAAACCCAGAGTAATAGTGATTCCATGCCACCTGCTGGAGTAATTGTAAACAAGCCACACCCCATAACCGTGACTACTTCTATTCCTCCATCATCTCGAAAAATAGAAAGTGGAGTAAAGAAACCTAACATAGCAGTTGTAGAAATGAAGTCAGAAAAAAAGGATCCTCCTCAGCTTACTGTACAGGTATGCAAGGGTGAGTGAGAAGAAAATTTAAGGGAAAAAAAAGCAACTTTGGTTTAACATTAGTACTTAAACTCCATTACATTCTTCATGAAAATACTGCTTGCATCATGACCCCTTTATTGCTTAAATTTATTTTTAAAAATGCATTTTTTTTTGAGACGAGAGTATTACTTTGTTACCCTCTGTAGAGTGCGGTGGCTTCATAGCTCACAGCAGCCTCTAACTTTTGGGCTTAAGCAATTCTCTTGCTTCAGCCTCCCAAGTAGCTGGGACTATAGGTGCCCACCACAATGCCTGGATGTTTTTTAGAAATGGGGTCTCACTCTAGCTCAGGCTGGTCTTGAAATACTGAGCTCAGGCAGTCTACCCACCTCAGCCTTACAGATTGCTGAGATTACAGGCGTGAGCCACTGCGCCCAGCCTAATTGATTTTTTTTTGAGACAGGGTCTCACTTTGTCACCCAGGTTGGAGTGCAGTGTTATGGTCAGACCTCACTGCAGCCTTGAAGTAACTCCTATACTCAAAGTGATGCTCCTAGCTTAGCCTCTTTAGCAGCTAGGACTGCAGGTACCTGTCTCCAGGCTTGGTTAATTGAAAAAACTTTTTTAGGGACAGTGTCTTGCTATATGCCCCAGCTGGTCTAGAACAATTGGCCTCAAGTTATGCTCCTGCCTCAGCCTCCTGAGTAGCTGGGGTGTAACAGGTGCCAGCTATTGTACCTGGCTTCGCTCCTTCATTTTTACAACCATGATATTTATTCATTTTATGTGTCTCTATCTTTGTTCTGCATGGTTTAAATTACTCTCCTAGGCCAATGACTTATATCCAGGTAACTCTGTGCTTTTTTTTTTTGAGACAGAGTTTCACTTTATCACCCTCCTTAGAGTGCTGTGGCCTCATAGCTCACAGCTACCTCAAACTCCTGGGCTTAAGCGAGCCTCCCAAGTAGCTGGGACTATAGGTGCCCACCACACCACCTGGCTAGTTTTAAAGACGGGGTCTTCCTCTGGCTCAGGCTGGTCTTGAACCTGTGAGCTCAGGCAATCCACCTGCCTCGGCCTCCCA